GAGAGAGAGAGAGAGAGAGAGAGAGAGAGAGAGAGAGAGAGAGAGAGAGAGAGAGAGATGACAGGATTGCACACGTACAAGCATCCCATGTCAGTCCCGATCCCGAAGTCCCAGGTAACATAGTAATCGTCCTACAGGTAGATTAATTACTTCCAGTTCGGTAGGCCCGTGGGTTCAGTCCACTCTGCACAGTCAGTCTGCAAAAGTTTGGCCACGGCACGCAGGTGAGGGGCGCCATCCAGAATGTCCGAGATAAGGTAAGTAATTGAATTTAGTGTACAATCAGCAGGGTGCAAAGTAACCCACTCTAGCAGTCATGGTGATGAATGCATTGGGAACCTCAGGACATTACACAACACAGTTTACTGGTTGGTGGCAGTGAGCTGTGATAAGATATTGTGTCCCGCATCCTTCGTCTCTCTGCGCAGCTGTATGTCCTATGCTCACACCATATGAATGGGAACACATCCATGTGTAAACAGTTCAGACTTATAATTCTGGATCTGCGTTGTGGTGAATTTGCAGGTGCGCTTCCATGAGAAATTCCACGACAAGGGTGTTTACAACTGCCAGAAGGACCTTTCTTACATATTTTACAATGGCTACGAGATGTACGTGGAGTTTGGCGGATTCCATGATGATCGGATTGACGTCTTGGTATCATCCCCTGATGTTTCTGTTGCAGAAGCAGCCGAATGGGTTGATCGGAACATTTTGATAGCCATCAACCAACTTTGCAGTGAGCCGACTGGTCTCCCAGGTGTGGATCTGGTGATGAAAATTGTGCGCCCACGCTGTTTGACAACATGTCCAATTGTTCAGCGGAGGTGTCGGCGTGACGATCAGACTGTCACAGAAGAAAAGCTGATCGAGGGGATGGAGAGGGAGGAATATAATTACAATCATTCATGGCCTGCCATTTGGGATGAGCAGGGCAAGGAAATTGTTCCACCATCTTGCGACAATGCGACGGCGTTAATCAGACCGAAAACACTGGAGTGTCACCTGTCCGTTCAGAAGCGTGAGCTGCACAGAGTTTGTGAGAGCTTCAATGTAGTTGAAGGGAACTCAGGACAAAGACCGCAACAATCTGGTTGCGAAAACAGCACTGGCAGGTTCGGGGATTGCTCTGAGGCACCACTTGAATGTGACCAGCCCACAAGCAATGTTCAACAGGTGGGTGATCCGGTGACAAGCAATATGCACGATCTTGCTGTACAATCTGACCAAATTTGCTGGCACACGTCTGGACGCGAAAACAGCACTGGCAGCTCCGGTGGTTGTTCTGAGGCACCATTTGGATGTGAACAGCCTCCAAAATATGCTCAAGAGTTGGTTGACTTGATGACGAGGGGGTTTCATGATGTGTGTAGAAAAGTTGACCGAAATTTTCGGTCCATCAACGAGATGAGAGAAGTGGTGAACATTCAGAGGGAAGAGCAAAGAAATGCATTTGCAAGAGTCTGCAGTGCTCTGTCTAGCATATCTGTTTTTGGCACTGAGCAGCACAGTCATCGCCTACCTCATCGTGTTTACATCACTGAGAGGACATCTGGCTCTTGCCAGAAACTGAGTTTCCTGATTGGCTTAAGAAAAGTTGAGCTGCACCTCATGTGTGAATCCCGAGACTGCTGCCATGCTGTGCATGGCCAGAAGGGGAAGAAGTTGCATCTTCCGAAAGAGGGAAGTCGGCATGCGTGGACTCTCTTCAAGTGGACAATTCTCGCTGTGACTGTGCTGTTGAAAACCGGCTGTGCAATTTCCATGGGGATCCATCAGCTTGTRCCAGACTTGGGTGGCGTGGCCARCTGGACAAGCTTTGTGATCGGAGCAGTGGGTRATGCTGGTCTGGACTTTGTAGACCTGGAAGACCTCAAGCGGAGAATGAATAACGTTGGAAAGGATATGTTCAAGGATGATGGTCCGGAAGATGCCGTGAAGCGTCAGAAAGCGATGGACTGGCTTGAGGGAATCCTGGAAGGTGGGGCACGCGAGGTACGGGAAAGATTTGAACTTAGCAGGGTGAAGTACAGTGACACAGGCGCAGTAACGTGGATATGCAGCTCCTGTCTCAAGAACAGCCAACTGTTTGTGGAGGTATTTTAGGTGGAGCTATGCGACTAAACTAGCACATGAGCCATGTATTCAAGAAGAGCCAGCTGTCTATGCAGCTCCTGTCTCAAGAAGATCCAGTGCTCGATGCTGCTTTACTATAATGGTGTTGTGTTGTGTAGAGGATAGAATAGGTGGTGATGCCTGCAGGTTGAGAGGCCAGCCCGAACTAAGAACTTTTCCTGCTGTTGCTGTGTTCATTACTAGGACTTCAGGAGAGAGTTTTTCATCATCGAAGAGACTTTAGCTTTGACTGCTCTTGGTCGGATGTGAGCATTGCTTTGGGGTTTCTGCTACTAGTCTGGTCACCGTATGCATGCTGGTTAAGAGGGTTCATAGAGCTTATGATTTGAGTTTCTTTGTGCAGATTCCTTGCAGTTTGGTATTGGGCTCGTTTCCTACAAGAGGCTACATAAGCAGTCAGACTACCTGCGCCAGCTTGGTCTGACATTTTGGCAGTGGCACGAGAAGTAGTGCTGCGCAGAACACCATTGAGAGGCAGTTTGGTTGACATCTTGCCATGGAGCTCCTCTGCTGGGATTGGGAGCATAGGGGAGGAAGGGTGAAGAAGGATGCATGGCATGCAGTGAAGGCGACCTATGGTGATTATCGCTCTTGATGTGGTGGTACTTGTCTATATCACTCGGTTTTGCAAATGGGCTCGTACTACCTCAGCGTTGACAGATGATGTCATCAATGACAGGTTTGAGTCGGCAAGCACTAATAGTTATTCAAAGCTTTATCTTATCTGTCTGATTCTCTTCTTAGCATGAGGTTGACCGAACTGCTTGAGAGTCGTTTTGATTGGGAGGTGCAAGTGGCATTCAACATAGAGAGTTATCTCAATTGTGATGGTTTTGGAGGGAGATGGGCTGCATTCGGGAAGGTGGAGCACATGATGCGGGAGTGGTACACGCATGCATGCGCTGAACACGCCAGCAGCTGAAGGATGCACATCATCAGTTACCGAACTGCTTGAGAGTCTTTTTGACTGGGAGGTGCAAGTGGCGTTCAATTCTTGAGAGTCGTCTCAGTTCTGATATTTTTGGTGGGAGATGGGTTGTGCATGGGAAGGTGGAATACATGACGTGGGAGTGGTACACGCATTTATGCGCTGAACCCGCCAGCAGCTGAGGATGCACATCATCTGTTCGCTTCAGTAGTTGCTAAGGACATGAGTAGCCTCTGAAACACACTCGTTCTCGCATATGACATGGTGTTAAATGGGATGAAGCAGAAATTGAATGTGAAGCAGAGGGCAGGAACTCGAACTGCAGGGGGGGTAACCATGGTCAACAAGTCGTTAGACTGCCTGAGAAATTATCTGGTCAAGGAGCTTGGGCCTATCAACAAGTCACAACATGCAATTTTGAGGGTGAAGGAGTTTCCTCTATTCAAGTGGGATGAAGATAACAAGCCTGGTCCAGCGGCTGAAGAATGGACATTATCCGTTCACGGCAGCAGTTGCTGAGGACATGGGTAACCGCTGGAACGCACATGCTCTCGCATATGACATGGTGTGAAATGGGGTGGAGATTGGCGGAGGAAGTTCGCGCATCTACAAGCGTGAGGTTCAAGAGAAGATCTTTCAGACCATAGGCTTGTCCAAGTAACAAGCAGAGGAACCGTTTGAATATCTTCTGGATGCATTCGACCTCGGTGTGCCATCCCACGGAGGCGTTGCATCTGGGATGGACCACCTGTTGATGATCTTTACAGCACAACCATCAATCAGGGGTGTCATCCCGTTCTCGAAAACTAGACAACCTCAGTTCGGAATGAGAAAGGCATCCTTCTCTGTCAGTCCCTCACAGCTCAAAGAACTCGTTGTGAAGATGAAGAGCGTAGTAAAGATGAGCTGAACAACACAGAGAGAAAGGTGGTGCAGAGTTTGTTCCCAGAGTTCTTGTTGTGATTCGCTCAACTGTCTTTCCCTGTAACATTTCCCAGACTGAGTCTGTTTGGTTTTCTTGTGAAACTAATCTGTGGTCAGGCATGCATGAGCGGCTGTGGCGTTTTGACCTCCTCCCGCTCCTCCTCCTCTTCTCCTCCTCCCATACGGTCACGTTGTCGGACCAAATACCCTTACAAGGGTATTTGGCCATGCTTTTGCATTCGACACGGTGACGGCATCGGCTACCATGATGGAGCCAGTCTGGAATGGAAAGGGTGTGCACGCTTGAGCGTGACACTCGAAACGAGTTCCTCGGCCATTGAGGCCGGGGGCAAATCGGTGAGAAAATTTCGAGAGTATGAGCGCGCGTTATTATGACGCGCGCTGTGATGGTTAGGACCAGTAGTAATACCCGTCGACAGAAGAGGTCGAGGGGTCAGTCGGGTTAATATTGTGTCAATAAGATCTATGACACGCATGGAGACTTAATCGTCAGTACATTAGTCAGAATAAATTAATACGCGCTCCGGTCGTACGATCAGAGCGATTATTACTGTATAATCATCGGGGTTGAGGTAGCGCCCCGATTGTTGACGTTTGCACGAGCAGTACCTTTATCCTTACTAATGCACCGTAAGCGAGGTTGAGGCTCTAGCTCGGCCTCCCGTAGGTAGAAAGGGAGTCGCCCCTTGGGAGGTGACTTCCTGACCGCATGACTACCCGAGTGACCGGTGCCATTGTCCCTCTGCATAGAGAGATATCGTTGCAGGCTCTGATATCATCCGCAAAGGACCTAGACTCGTACTACTGGAAACCAGTGCCCGCCTACCTGATGGTACTGGGCCTCTGGAAATGCCTACTTCGTCTTCTTCTACTCGGCCTCGAGTATCCGGCACGTCCACCTCTACTTGGTGTGGCACCGGCCTACCTACTACTTGAGTGTTTTCCACCGCCTTAGGAGTTGCGGGCCTTTTTCCGCGCTACTTGAGTATTTTCTCCGTTGCAATGTTCGACGTCACAGTCACAGGTAAGTACCGGCCCTTCGGGCCATACCAGGTCAACGAGGTATCCTTGCGGGTCACACACATACTCAAACCGACAGGCGTGCAGACCGATAAAACGTGCACACACACACGCCTAGAAACAAGCTGAGGCCACAGGGTGGGTTGGGCCTCGGTACTCTTCATATAACTGGGCGGCCCCCTTCTCTAACTAGAAAAGGAGCTAGCTCAGTAAGTTTTGATGCTACTTGACAAACAGAGGATCCGGGGATCGAGGCCGACCGACCGCTGAGGCTAGCTTCTTTTGATAAGGAGTCTAAACCAACTTTATGCTACCCCGCCGTCGGTCAACCGGGACTTGAACCTGTGACCTCGAGAATGGGGTTAGCCGAGGTTAGACCCCGTTGTGACGGTTGGCACGACGGGGTAGTTAGCAGTTAAAATTTTCTTTTGTCTATTTATTTATTAGTTAGATTTGATTTCTTTTTATTAGATTCTTATTATTTCATTATTATTATTATTATTATTATTCGTTTAGTTTTCTGATCCCGTAGCAAGACCCCACATACTCACCTTAGTGAATCTGCACTAGATAAACGGGCAGATTCACTCTCACAAAATTTTGTTGTACTTTGAAAACGGCATCCGAATGTCCGGTCCGCGTACTCAGGCGGAGCACTCGTGTGTAGCAGCGCACGGGCAAAGAAACTCGCGAGGAGGGCAGCGCGCGGGAGTGCGCGCGCAGAGGTCAAGCGAGCGCAGGGGTAACATAGGTCGGCAAAAAGTGCGCATAAGCGAGCGCGGGCAGAAGGGAGGCGCAAGGCGAATGCGGTCTCGTGAGTGAAAGAGAGAGAGCGCGAGGAGAGAAGAAGAAGAAGAAGAAGAAGAAGAAGAAGAAGAAGAAGAAGAAAAAGGGAGAAGGAGAAAAAGCCTTACTGAACAAGAACTTCTTGACTTTTTTTGCATCGTCATTCTTTCTCGCATCGATAAGGATTACCTTGTTCACAATATCAAGTGTCTCATGAAACTCCTCAGACATCCAGCGGACCACCTTATCAGCCCGAGGGTAAAAATCATACAACTTTTGCTTCTGAGTCAAGTGGGGATTGCATACTGAAATCACACAAGGCTTCCTTTCGGCTTTGCAGTTTGTCGCGATGAATCTCAGCCAGTACCTCAGTCGTTGAAGAAGTTCATCCCACTGTCTCTTCTCAACTTCCGCAGCCGAGCTGTCTCTTCTTGAGTTACCAGTGGTTACTTGCTCGCATTCGATCACCGGATTAAATAAAAGCAAGAAGATGGGTGGAACTGCCATGTCCCCTCCTAGAGTTGGCATGAACAGATCATGGATTGTGTGGTACTCAGGTTGTCCACCCAAGTCCCAGAACTGGATGTGGACCCCTTTCGATGCGACATGGACCATCTCAATGCCCTTCGTTCGAGGTTTGGCAGGCCGATCACCAGGGGTCATCTGCTTCATCACTTCTATGCAGTACTCCAATGTTCCACGGCAAATGGAATCCTTCAAGGTCGACTTACCCACATGAGGTTCACCCGCCAAAAAACATCTGATGTGGCTGCTGGTAGTGCGTTCCAAGCCTCCACCAGCCTCCAGCAACCGTCGTTCAGTCTTGTTTCTTGACAACTTACGATCAACAACTCTGTCAGATCTCAAATCGTTACGATCAATAACTCTGTCAGATCTCAAATCGAAAGTAAACTCCTGAAGTGTCTTATTGGACTCCAAGGTAGAGAGCATCTCTGCCCTCAATTCAGATGGCAGTGTCTTAGCTGCGCGAAACCCAATTAGTAAATTGAGCTTTTCTAGACAAACATTACTCCGCAACCCTTTCACAATCGTTTTCATGTCCGACTCACGAGTGCCTTCTAGAAAAATAATTTCCAGTTTCTTAAGAGTGTTGTTTGTTGCCAGCATGGCTGCAAGGGCATCTATCCCTTCCTGGCTAGTAAGCATTCGGTTGATGAGGCTCACATCTTTGAGTTGAGATCTTCTTCGCACTCGCTGCCCTTGGAGCCCACTTTTCATTTCCAGGGGTGTGACCAACAGTTCTGCAGGAGCATCACCATCA